CATTATAAATTAACAATAAGAAATGGCACCCAAAAAGTTAACTGAATCTCAGGTTGTCTATGTCTGAATATTATGTTCCGTTCTGGCCAATTTATTTTAGGTTGGATATTGACAAATTTAGATGTGACTAGAGGGTAGCTACCAAAATGGTGAAGAGACTTGAATTTAGGGGTGTACTGGAGTCAACTCATATAGGTTTAGATTATTAAATTTTTGGTGTCAGTCATTCTGTCAATAAGCATTTATTAAGTATTTCCTTTGTGCCAGGCACTGTGCTAAGTAGTGGGAATATAAATAAATGCATAAAGAAAGATACCCCCTGCCATCAGGGAGCTTACATAGTAATGGGAAAAGACAAAACACAAAAACCAAGCTAAAAGGGTGGATGGGGAAGTGGGAAGTATGTGCAAGAGCATGGTAGAGAAAATCCTTTTGAAGATGAGCCAGCAATTCATTATAGTGACAGATGAAGATAGCTTTGATTTGGACATCTTCCTTAAATTAAAGGATTTGGGAAGAATCAACCAATCAGAAGGTGAGGCTTCAGGGGAAGAGAATACTTCCAATATGTGAAATAGTCCAAGTGTGGAATGATATTCCAGGGTGAAGAAGTTTCTATGTCATGGCTGAGAAAGTCCTATGGAAATACGCTGGCAATTAAGCGTAGGGAGAGATGAAGATACCTTTCACTTGGGTTTCCTTAAGTTGGAGGTTCTGAGAGGAATTAGTCAATAAGAAAATGAGGACCCAGTAGTAAAGAATACTTTCTGTGGGGAATGGCTCACATAATTACTTTCAGTTATTTAAAGATTAGGAAATAAATGTGTTCTGCTTAACAAAAATCAACTATGGACTACTGATTGAATTGTACAGGTTGATCTTGCTCCAACATGTCAGAACTTCCTAAAAGAGCTATCTCACTGAGCAGTCAAATCAAGTCAATAAATACTAACTGTCTACTTTGTGTCAAGCACTGTGCTAAGCATTGCAAATACAAAGAAAGGCAAAAACAGCCCCTACCCTATAACGAGTTTACACTCTGTTGGAAGCAGGGCGTTTGATGAGAGGCAACTTTGTGTGAGAAGAGCAGTGAAGTTGTAGTTCAGAGGACTTGAGTTCAAAGCCCAGCTTGACTTCCTATTTCCTTGTGACATTGGACAAAATAAATTACCCTTTCTATGCCTCAGTTTCCTCATTGGTAAAAGGGTGCTGTTTGATAAATTTAGATCCTCTAACTCTAAGTGCAGTAGTGTTTCTATTACATGCAGCTTCCCAGAGTAGGAGCAGAATGGAAGGTCATGAGTAGAAAGTTCAGTGATTAAGAGCCTTACATATTTGACTATGGATAGTCATGTGCCTTTCTTCATTTGACTCTGTATCCCAGGTCATTTTCTATATTCCCAACCTACCTGCTTTCCATAAGATCCTATCAAGCACATTTTTTTGAGGGTTGGGAAACTGTCTTGTCCATTATGTGTCTCTGACTAGTATCTTCAACTCTTTAAGGACAGACCACATACTTACCACGTACTGCTCACAGTGCTTAATTCCAGTGGTGAATGTTTATTGTTAGATTAATAGCATGGCCTTTCCAAGTCAGTAGAATGCCTGGCAGAGATAGCTGTCATCTAAAGAGGAAAGAACTGCCCTCATTCTAGAATCACAAGTATAGTTTCTCCTTCCACCATCCTCAGAAGAATTAGTACAGCCAGATCTAGTTAACAATGGATGAAAAGAATGAGATCAAATGAGATTGTGCAGCCATATTCCTAATTATTGAGCCTGAATTACTAAATTTCTTTGGAGAAAGAAAGGCATTTTTTGAAGCTGTGCTCATTCTTTCACCTCCTTAGTTTGCTATAGGGTACCTTTGGAGAATTCAATCTTGGTTGTAAGAGTAGATACCTATTTGCATCCTATCCTTGAGCACAGAAATGAATTCTAAACTTCAGGCATAGTTTTGCCCAAAAATATGGTTTGAAGAAGTAATCCTTAGTGACAAAAATAAGCCAACAAAAACTGAAGGGCCTATAGCCATAGAGATCATGCTTTGCCAGACATTTTTTGTAAAATTACCGAATGTTGTATGTGCTTGGGGGAGCCTCTTTCACTGCCTTTTCACTAGATCTGAAATTCCCTATGAAACATAGCAATGATTGCAGTCTAAAGAATATGACTGATTGAACCTATACTTGAAAGACAGTGACAATATTGAGTCTTTAGAAAGAATTTTTAAAAGTAGTGCAAATCAACCTGTGGGTAAACTAATCTCAAAAGTATCTTATTTGAGAAGAGGTTTGGGGAAAATACTCAAATGTGTAAAACTTGAAGGTCAGGTTTCCAGTCTTATCCACTAGTTGGGGTTCAAAAAGTTTTTACAAATATTATAAGAGCAGGTGGTTATGTGAATGAAATGACAAATCAGTGAGATAAACAACTACTTTTCCAACTAAATGTACTGTCAATTCCCTAGCCCCACTTATTTGAGTCACCAGAGGCAGGTTCACACTGTGAATACCAAAGAGGAACCTTTGAGGACCCAGCTATAAATTTAATTCTAGGATTTCACATTAGCAAAAAGGATGATATCAGGGGTAGTTGAAGTGCCTAGAATATGACGATTTAGTTCAGACTATACAAGATCAGTTCATGAAAGGTTGGTCATACGTGACTGTCAGAATAGAAATAGGAGAGTTGATGGGAATAAGATTTAATCTAATTAATTTCACTCTTACTGACCTTAAATAGAGTTCTGAACAAATACTAGACATGTTAGTCTATAGGACGAATATGCTGCTATTTATATAAATAAAAAAGCAATTTCCAAAACAGACAAAGAATATTCTTAAAATAGGCTTAGCATGCAAATGGGATAAGAGAAGAAGAATAAGGGCATAGCAGCAGTTTAATATGGTGGATAGAACAACACTAGACCGAGAAATCAAGAGACCTGGGTCCTCCTCAAGGCTCTCCTGGCTATGTGATTTAGCAGACTCATTTGTATGACAGAATTTTACCAAATGATTTGTGAGGATCCTTCTAGCTCTAGCATTCTATAACATTCTGGTCATCAAAGGGTTCAGCTACCAGAATGATTTAATGCATTGTGTCATTAATTTGAAAGGAGATAGGTGAAGGTAAAATTTGCTGATGAGAAAAGGTGATGAGGAAAGGTTGTTTAGAGGAGAAATCTAATTCCCTTCAATGTAGTCCAATGTGCAGTAGGGATAGAAGGGCAGAGAGGCACCAAAAGGACCTACCTATTTCAAGAAAGAAAGAAAATTGATAGATGAAGATCACTCCTCTTTTTATGTCTCCAAATTTCCTCTTTTGTACTCAATCCACTTTGATGATCTGTCTATTCTAAGTTCCCTCTATCCTCACCCCCACCCCTTATTTTTCCTTCCTACTTTTCATTGCTGGTAACCATAGTGATACTTACCACAAATAGCTCTCTGGCAATCTCCCCCTCCTTTTTTTTCTTCTTCTTTCTTTCTTTTTTTTTTGTATATCAAACTCCTTTGATATACATTGGATTGATATTGTTAGATAATGCAATATTATATGTACAGTTTAGAGACTTATTTTATTTACCAAATTTCTTGTCCATTTCCTTTCAAAGGAAATACGGGGAATTTCCCTCTCATTTAACCTCCTTGAAGGGCAATTTAAAATGGGAATGTGCAACTGTTAATTTCAGTTGCTGGCATGGTGGGGAAACTGATTATGCCAGAGATTCTTCTCCCTATTTGGAGCTTTGGGAATGAAAGAGCCCCTGAGTACCAAAGGCAATCATCTCCTCTTTGCTTTAATGTGCAATCTGAATAAATGTGGAAATATGTGAAAGCGATTACCACTAAATCATGATTCAACTTCAGTCCCCAGTCGTCTGCTATCTGCTGTTTTCTCTCTCCAAAGGGAAATATTAGCCTCATAAATAGTAGACAGTCACAAAGAACTAGAATTCTTAATAAGAAACAGGCAGGTATCTCTCTCTATAAAATAAATTTTAGTCAATCCATTAGCTTTTGAGTATAAGTAAGAAAATTTCCATAATTATTTTGGGTGTGTTCTGTAAAACTCAGTTACCAAAATACCAAACAGAAAAAAAATCCCTGTTGTCCTCAATGAAGATAAAGTCTAAAGTCCTCAGAAACTTCCTTTTAATCAGATCCAGTATTTGAAACCTAAGTGAGTGTTAAGGTTCTTGTGCTGTCTTTTTGTGCTATAAGCCTGTGTGTGTGTGTGTGTGTGTGTGTGTGTGTGTGTGTGTGTGTGTGTGTGTATCTGGCATGGGCACAAAGGCAATCAGATGATGACATTCATAGGATTATAAGACTGACTCCTGGGGACACACTTGGTTGGATGCAATTAAAATGCCTGTCAGGCATTTGATACCAGAAGCCCCTTGACAAACTGCTAAATCTGCCAGCAGCGCAGCATCCTATTGTGAGTGAATGATGGCGGAGCTGGGTGGCTTGTCATCATTCTCGAAAATTCTGTGGCTACTGAGCTCTCTCTCCCTCTCCCACTCGCCTTATTTTCCTTTTCGCCACTGCAGGGACTTTTTCTAATTTGCAGTTTTCATTTTCCCGACACACATAGACACAAGCTAGCGGCTTGCAGACTGCGTCTGTCTAGAGGTAGACGGCAAACCAATGGATAATAATACTAGAGAAGAATGATTTTGCAGCAGTACTTGAAGAATATGATTTGGGGGTCTTGCTGCATATGCGCCGGTAATGATTTTCTTTCAAAGGATCTGATTTAAAGGTATTTGGAGGAAAATTCTGTAAGGTGCAAGGATTGAAAAAAAAGATGCAAGGATTGAGCCTTCTGGAAATTAAGTACTGCATTACAGCAATACCGATGAACTCAAGGCAGTTTTATTTTATGACCGGGAGGAATTCATTTGCTTATTTGTAAGCTGATTAATTTGCAATTTCAAAAATTATCTTTCTGTATCTATATTTTTCTCTTTTTTCATTTTATTTTTATAGGTTCTACAGCCTGTTGTCATTAACACAGGAAACATTGATTGGAAACTACTCATTCAGAAAATTAAAAGGTACCACATGTTATTTTTTTGATGTGTTTAAGGATGGGGGAAGCAAGGATCCATTCTTTGAGCCATCTGCATGTTTTCATTTGAATCATTCTCTGTTTTCTTAGCTTTTTCATTTGGAGGCTAAATTTAATGATATGCTACATTATCTGATCTCATATCATTTCTACATGTTATCTAAGGCTGTTTGATTATTGAGTAAATGCAAAATCAACTGAGTTGTTTGTCTATCTGGCACGTTTTCGATCTGCTGATTAGTTTTGAAGGATTGAGAAAGCATTTGAGAAAAATGTTCGTGTTCTGCCTCCTTGTTGAAAATCATAAATATTAGTTGCAAGTAAAAAAAAAAGAGACTCTGATACTGTATGAATTTTAATGGGTTAAATTCACTGACTTGCCTTTCCCAGGTAGAATGAATGATAGAGAGTGAATCTGAAAGCGCAGGGATGACTCAGTATGGGGTTTGCAAATAAAACCTTCTTAACCCCTTCACTGTCATTTTAATTTTTTTTGTAAGGCATCTTTGTTCAAGGATCTGGCAGTTATGGTTATGGAAGGAATGTGATTCATTCTCATTTCATATGCTCTTTGCAGCATGAGAAACCAGCCTTGCAGAATTGTCATAAAAGCAAGGGACTCTGTTCTTTTTGTCTCTTTTTACCTAAAGCCCAAGCCAAATAATATTGGTTTCCAATTTCTGCTTGGCTTCTAGGTGTGTAAGGTGCTTTGGAGAAAGCAGTAATATGAGGATTGTTTTTATTTTAACTCTTTAAGGCTATTTTGCATTTTCACAAGCACTCCTGATGTCCATATTCTATCTGCTTATCAGAATGAATAACATTCTGCCTTACTGAGAATCAGACCAATAATGTCATTTTCATGCTTAGCTGGCATGTTTGTTTTTTGCCCCTGAGATTTTTCTCTGGCAAAAAAAAAATTTGATGGCTTATTGTCAGAAGCATTTTAAATAAAGGTAGTTATTTATCTTTTTGGCTTGAAAACCCCAGTGGTAGTGTTTATGTATATGTATACATGTGTATAAATAATATTTCAAGAATCTGAATATAGCTTTTATATTGCATTTGCATAATTTTCTCAGTGCTATCTAGTCATCAACCCATTTATTGGTTCATTTGGCAAGCATTTGTTGAGTGCCTACTATGTGCCTATCCCTTTCCCGAACATCATGTAATATAGAAAATAAACAGAAGACTTAGTTCTTCTTTTGAAGAACTCTTAAGCTCTTTGGACAAAGGTCTCTGACCTCTGGGGAATAAATAGAGAATCACAGAGAGATTTTGAAAGCCAGAAAATATTCATTAAAATATTGAACAAAATCTAGCAAACTAGTCCTGAACCATCTGATCTCTTTCCTCAAAAATTAAATCCAATTTCATCTTGTCTTGGATTGGGAAAAAAAATAATTGGGGCTTGTTTTTCCTCCTGAACATTTGAAGAGCAACCAACAAAGCCATAAGCCTGCCCTATAATTCACATTTTCATTTGGAGAAGAAAAGTGCTGTGTTTTATAAGGCACTTCCTTTTGGTAATTTTTCCCATCTAATTAAAATCTGGAAGTGGTACAAATGCCTGAAAGGAAGCTAGGCTTTTGTGATCCCAGCCCCCCATCTTCAGGTTTAATTCAGATAAGCGCAGTAAAAATACTAGACTATGGAGTGCTTCAGTGAATTGCAAAGACAGCTAAATTGTCTTTTTGATAGATAATCTGGCCATCAATAAGAACCCACAAAGCTGAGTAGCATTGTTTCTGTGTGGTAAACACAAAAACAGTAGAGGTGCTCAACATCATCCTTCAGTGGCCCCTGCCTCAACTTCCTTGATCCATTTTCTACTGTAATTGGTAAGAATGAATGCCTGCCTTATCCCCATGGTAATGATGAACTATGGTGCCAAGCTTTTTATAAACCACTAATGAATTATAATTTCTCAGAACTAATGGCTGCTGAATAATCAAGTGATGGTTGTTTACATTGCTGGAACCTGCAAGAATCAGGGGTTCTACATCTTGGCTTTTCTAATCAATGTCTTATTGGCAATAGCTAAGTTGATTGCGAATTCACCCACAATTCACCTTAAACACTATGCCTGTTCTTGCAACTCTCAGAGGATTTGGGCTGGACAGCAGAGTTTAAATTTTGCTTTTATTTATTTTGGTTTTTAACATATAGCTCCAACTATTTTGCCATTAATATTCTTGGGAGAAGGTGATATTCGATGGTATCAAATGAAGCAAAAATGCCACTTCTTTTATCATTTAAGATTAGTGAGGATTTTCTTTTTCCTTTCCTTTTAATCAGCCAAAGGACAGAAGCCAAGCTGCAGCACGAATCTTGCTGTCTGAAATCTCCCCAAATAGTACTTTAAGCTTTGACACTATTTACTGGTCTTCACATCTCCAGCCAAGGTTTTGCTGCAGCACAGGAGAGGAGCAGTCCTCCTCCCTCCATCCCACAACATTAACAAATAAAAATGATGTCATACTTATCAGCCTATGATAATCAATCAGCGGAGTTGTTGTAGCAAGATAAATAGTGGTCATTGAGAAATCCTTGAAGGTTACACCAGGAAATATCAACCTTAAATTATTTAGAGAGAATTCAAATTAACATAGTTTCAGGTGTTCCTAAACACATCAACATGAAAGAATGGACATTCCAGCTTTTAAAAATAATAGCTTTGTTTATACAGAACTTCCTTCTGGTACTGCAAGGTGGTTAAGAGTGAATTCCGAATATTTGTATGTGTATGTGCGTATACACATTCAGGGAATACATTATATGCTTTTACAACTTTAACAATATTTGAATTACAACCTATTTTGCCCTATTAATTGGAGAATAGCTTTATTACTTCAACAGCAGGAAAATAAATGACGAATTAGCATTTAAAACAAGTACGGTAATGAAAGCAACTTCCCCATTGTGATTTGTTATGAAATTGACTGGAAAATGTAGCTATTAAATTACATATAAAGTACAAATATACATTATGAAGGGTTGTTTTTAATGAAGGTGGTGATATAATGGAGATCATAGTGCAACAATTGCCCCTTTCACCTTGACCTGTGCTTCTGTCCACATGGTTCTAAAGAAACACCGCTGAGACAGACTCTCAGGAGCTGTCCCTATCCTGCTGTCCTTGAGAGGTAGCATGCATTGGATCACTCATACATTGAGTGCCATTATATAAAGGCATTGTGCGTCTGGGTGGGATAATGTTCCTCTTAGTAACTCCCTAAGTCCCTATCTGTTCACTTCCCTTCTCCAACTAGGTGTGCCTAGTTTTCCCAAATGGTAACTCAGAAGGTAGTGAGCTCACTGACAAGTACCATTTTTACTGCTGGTACCTACACCTGTTACTCAGACCCCATTGCAAAAATCAGAGTTCAATGTCCAAGGCCATCTAGTCTAACATGTACATTATAGTTGGGGTCCTGTGCCTCAGATCACACAGCCAGTGTCAAAGGTGGGATTCAAACCTACATATTCTGACTCCAAAGCCAGTACTTTTGAGATCTGTCACAGTACCATGCCTGATCTATTGTTTCTTATACTCTCCATGGGACCTTGACCCTTTGTTTCTCAGTCTCCAAACCTTGAATCTTAGACCCTGTTGCCTCCCTGGATTCTGGACCTCTTGCCTTTTCCATCCCAGTCTAGCTTTTTTGGATGTATCTGGCCTAACTGACTTACGTTACCTACTTCTTTAGGTTCCCTCTAATCTAGTCAAGTTTCTGATCCAAGATCCCTGTCTGGCATTGTGGTATTTTCCTTCCTCTGTGCGAAGGCAAAGCAAATCATTGAATGTGTTCTTTGACATCAGTAACAATCCATCCTCTGGAAAAAAGAAAAGCCAGATTCAAAATCATTTGCTTCTTCCTACTTTAGGTACAGTAAGAGGTAACATTGACCACATTTTCAACTTATACTCCTTTATCCCAACATCTTCGTACTATTTGATATCATGTGATTATTTTCCCACCTCAAGTATTTGTTCCACTTCCCCTCTTGAAACAGGATTATGAAAAAAAAACTTCTCACTACGTTATGTCTTCTCAGGTGAATTGATTCAGTTCGTAGCAGCAACCCAAGCTGGTCTGAGTGACTTGTTTGCAAAAAGTCAAAGGATCATTTAAAAGGTGGCCAGAGTAATTAACTGTACTGTGCAAGCATTTCAAGTCTCTGCCAAAAAGGAAATTATGCCTCTGGATCTAAAAGGCCTTACATTGCTGTCATCTGTAATATATTGACCACTAGTTGTAAGTCCCATATTTTGATTTCATAACAGATACAGTGGCTGAAGCATACATTGTTAGGATTAGAGAACTGAGAACACCCAAGAGAAACACCCCATCCAGTATAAAAAAGTTATTTGTCACAATAAAACAAGTTAATTCATTCATTGAATATAAAGAAACCAAATAATATCTGGTAAAGGTAAGGAAAATAGCTTCTAATTACAAAATAGTAGGTTTGTCTCAGCTTAAATTAAGATAACATCATTGTCTGTTTCTGGCCTGTCTAGTCTCAGGGGTTTTCAGTAGATAAAGCCTCAGTGTTTGGATAGTATTTTCACATTCTTCTGCTACTAAGTTTCAAGGAGCCAGAATTCACCCAGTCATTTCTTTATTAGTTCTCATATTAGCTGGTCTTTTCTTGGCCTCCTTGAAAGAGCATTCCTCCGGACAAGTGTTAATTGCCCTGGATTTCCAGATGCTACTTTCTGATTTTTCAAGGGGGCTCTGGACCTATGATTCATCTATTTAAGGAACTTTCTATGTGGAAACTCCATGCACTTATCCAGGTGGGCCATTCATCTGTAACTTAAAAAATAATAGAAAATGGCCTAAAGAAGTAAAAAATACAGATAGGAGCAAAGACTTACATACAGAACTTCCTGACTGCCCATGGCTGACCCTCTGTTGCAGGGGTTCCCAACCTTTTGTGTTTAACAAGCTCCTGTGGCGTTCTGGCAAAGCTTAT